GACAGAATCCATTCTTCTGTTGCTTACAAAAAACACACCTCAACTTCAAAGACAGATGGGACCTCAGAAAAAAAGGGTTGTGAAAAGATTTTCCAATCAAATGGACCCAAGAAACAAGCTGGTGTAGCTATCCTAATATCTAACAAATTAAACTTCAAGCTAAAATCAATCAAAAGTGATGAAGGTGGTCATTTAATATACATCACAGCAAAAATCCATCAAGGTAAAGTCTCAATTCTAAACATCTATGCCCCAAATACAAAGGCACCCACATTCGTAAAAGAAACATTACTAAAACTCAAATCACAAATAAAACCCTCACACACTTACAGTGGGAGACTTCAACACCCCACTCCTACCACTAGACAGGACCACCAGACAGAAACTTAACAAAGAAACAAAGGAACTAACAGAAGTTATATAACAATTGGGTTTAACAGGCATCTATAGAACAGTTCATCCAAACACAAAAGAATATACCTTCTTCTCAGCACCACATGGAACCACCTAAAAATCAACCACATGCTTAGCAACATAGCAAACTTCAACAGACACACACACAAAATTGGAATAATCCCTGTATCTTATCAGATCACTAGGCTTTAAATTAGAATTCACCAACAACACAAATGGCAGAAACCCTACGTACTTGTGGAAATTGAACAATGTGTAATTGTATCATTCCTTGGTAAAGGAAGAAATAAAAAAAGAAATTAAAGACTTCCTAGAATTCAACTAAAATGAAGACACAACATACCTGAACTTATGGGACACTTTGAGAGCAGTGCTAAGAGGAAAGTTCATAGCACTAAGTGCCTACATGAAGAAACTGGAAAATAGTCACACTAGAGAATTAACAGTATACCTGAAGGTTCTAGAACAAAAAGAAGCAAACTTACCCAGGAGGAGTAGACTCCAGAAAAAAATCAAATTGAGGGTTGAAACCAATAAAGTAGAAACTAAGAAAACAATACAAAGAATGAATAAAACAAAGAGTTGGTTCTTCGAGAAAATCAACAAGATACAAACCTTTATCCAAACTAACCAAAAGGTAGAAAGAGAATATGCAAATTAACAAAATCAGAAATGAAAAGGGGCACATAACAAAAGATACTGAGGAAATCCAGAGATTCATCATGTCATACTGTACGTCACAAAATTGGGAAATTTAAAGGAAATGGACAATTTTCTGAATAGATATCACTTGCCAAAATTAAATCAAGAACAGATAAGCTATTTAAATAGACCTGTAACCATCCACTAATGAAATAGAAACAGTCATCAATAGTCTCCCAACCAAAAAAAAAAACCACAAGGGTCAGATAGTTTTAGTGCAGAATTCTATCAAAAATTCAAAGAACATCTAATACCAATACTCCTCAAATTGTTCCACACAATACATGCAGAACGGACATTGCCAAACTCTTTTTTACGAGGCAACAATTACCTTGGTACCCAAACCACAAAAAGACACAACTAAGAAAGAGAACTACAGACCAATCTCCCTCATGAACATTAATGCAAAAATACTCAAAAAAATACTGGCAAATCGCCGGGCAATGGTGGCACACACCTTTAATCCCAGCACTCAAGAGGCAGAGGAAGGCTAGGATCTCTGTGAGTTTGAGACTAGCCAGGTCTATAAGAGCTAGGTCCAGGGCAGCCTCCAAAGCCACAGAGAAACCCTGTCTCAAAACAAACAAACAAACAAAAAACTGCCAAATCGAATCCAAGAACACATCAGAAAAATCATCTACTATGATCAAGTAGGCTTCATCCCAGGGATGCAAGGATGATATAACATACAAATATACATCAATGTAATCTACCATATAAACAAACTGAAAAAGAAAAACCACATGATCATCTCACTAGATGCTGAAAAAGCCTTTGACAAAATCTACTACCCCTTCATGAAAAAAGATCTTAGAGAGATCAGCACTAGCAGGAACATACCTAAACATAATAAAAGTAATGTACAGCAAACCAACAGCCAACAGCAAACTAAATGAAGAGAAACTCAAGGCGATTCCTCTAAAACCAGGAACAAGACAAGGCTGTCCACTCTCTCCATACCTATTCAATATTGTACTTGAAGTTCTATCTAGAGCAATAAGACAACAAAAGGAGATCAAGGGGATAAAAATTGGAAAGGAAGAGGTCAAACTTTCACTATTTGCAGATGATATGATAGTTTAAATAAGTGACCCTAAAAATTCTACCAGTGAACTCCTACATCTGATAAAAACTTCCATTAAAGTGGCAGGATACAAGATTTATCTCAAAAAAAAAAAAAAAGCTGCCCTACTATATACAGATGATAACTGACTGAGAAAGAAATCAGAGAAACATCACCTTTTACAATAACCACAAACAACATAAAATATCTCGGGGTAACTCTAACCAAACAAGTGAAAGATCTATATAACAAGAACTTTGAGTCATTAAAGAAAGGAATTAAAGAAGATACCAAAAATGGAAAGATCTCCCATGCTCTTGGATAGGTAAAATCAACGTAGTAAAAAAAATGACAATATTGCAAAAAGCAATCTACAGATTCGATGCAGATCCCATCAAAATCTCAGCATAATTCTAACAGGCTTTCAAAGAACAATACTCAACTTTACATGGAAAAACAAAATACCCATGATAGCCAAAACAGCCCTGTACAATAAAGGAACTTCCGGAGGCATCACCATCTCTATTTTAGAGCTATAGTCCTGAAAACAGCTTGGTATTGGCACAAAAATAGACAGGTAAACAAATGGAATCCAACTGAAAACCCTGATACTAACCCACACACCTATGAACACTTGATTTTTGACAAAGAAGCTAAAATTATACAATGGAAAAAAGGAAGCATCTTCAACAAATGGTGCTGGCATAACTGGATGCTGGCATGTAGAAGTTTGCAGATAGAGCCACATCTATCGCCATGTACAAAACTTAAGTCCAAATGGATCAAAGACCTCAACATAAATCCAGCCACACTGAATCTCTTAGAAGAGAAAGTGGGAGGTACCTTTTAATGAATTGGTACAGGAGACAGCTTCCCAAACATAATACCAGTAGCACAGACACTGAGATTGACAGTTAATAAATGGGACCTCCTGAAACTGAGAAGCTTCTGTAAGGCAAAGGACACAGTCAACAAGACAAAAAGGCAACCCACAGAATGGGAAACGATATTCACCAACCCCACATCACACAGAGGGCTGATCTCCAAAACACACAAAGAACTCAAGAAGCAAGTCTCCAAAACACCAAAGGATCCAATTAAAAAGTGGGGTACAGAACTAAATAAAGAATTCTCAGTAGAGGAATCTGAAATGACTGAAAGACACTTAAGAAAGTGCTCAACATCCTTAGCCATCAGGGAAATGCAAAATAACTCTAAGATAAAATCTTGCTCCTGCCAGAATGGCTAAAATCAAAAACACCAATGACAGTTTATGCTGGAGAGGATGTGGAGAAAGGAGAACACTCCTCCACTGACAGTGGGAGTGCAAACTTTGCACAGCCACTTTGGAAATCAGTATGGAGATTCCTCAGGAAAATGGGAATCAGTCTACCACAAGATCCAGCAATTCCACTCTTAGACATACACCCAAAGGATGCACATTCATACAACAAGGACATCTGTTTAGCTATGTTCATAGCAGCATTATTTGTAATAGGAAGAACCTGAAAGCAATCTAGATGCCCCTCAAATGAAGAATGGATGGATAAAATGTGGTATATTTACACAATGAAAAAAACAATGGAATCTTGAAATTCCCAGGCAAGTGGATGGAACTAGAAGAAACCATCCTGAGTGAGGTAACCCAGTCACAAAAAGACCAACATGGGATGTACTCACTCATATATGAATATTAGACACAAAGCAAAGGATTACCAGCCTACAATCCACATCACCAGAGAAGCTAAGAAATAAGGAGGACCCTAAGAAAGACATAGGTCACCCGGAGAATGGGAAAGAGACAAGCTCTCCTGAGGAAATTGGGAGCATGGGGGGGAGGGGAGAGGGAGTTAGGAGAAAGAGAAGGGGAAAAGAGGAGGGGAGAGGAAAACATGAGGGAGTAAGATTGAGTTAAGAGAAGAACAGAAGAGAGCAAGAAAAGAGATAACCCTAATAAAGGGAGTCATTATAGGTTTAAAGAGAAATCTGGCACTAGGCAAATGTTTAGAGATATACAAGGATGAAACCAACTGGCAATCTAAGCAATAATGGAGAGGCTACCTTAAATGCCCTTCCCCTACAATGAGATTGATGACTACCTTATATGTCATCTTAGAGCCTTCATCCAGTAGCTGATGGAAACAGAAGCAGACACCACAGGTAAACACTGAGCCAGTTGCAGAGAGGGAGGAGTGATGAGCAATGGGATCAAGACCAGGCTAGAGAAATCCACAGAAACCTGAGCAAGGGGGAGCTCATGGACCCCAGACTGATAGCTGGGAAATCACCATAGGACCGACCCAGACCCCCTGAACATAGGTGCCAGTTAGGAGGCCTGGGCAGTCTATGGGGCCTCTGGTAGTGGAACAGTATTTATCCCTAGTGTATGAATAGACTTTGAGGGCCCATTCCACATAGAGGGATATTCTCTTTGTCTAGACACATGGGTTAGGGGCCTAGGCCTTGCTTCAAATGATGTGACAGACTTTGAAGAGCCCCCATGGATGGCCTCACCTTCCCTGGGGAGCAGAAAGGGGATGGGATAGGGAGTAGGTGGGGACAGGGGAGGATGGAGAGGGCACTGGAATTGACTTGTAAAACAAGCTTGTTTCTAATTTATATTTAAAAAAACAGAGAAAAACATTTATAATTAAAAACAGTATGGTACAGACACAAAAACAGACAAACAGATTAATCCAGGATCTAGACATAAGGCCATACAACTGCATTTACCTAATTTTTGACAAAGATGCTAACAGTACACATTGTGCAAAAGTAGCATCTTCAACAAATGATGCTAGGAAAACTGGATTTAACTTACTGAAAGATGAAACTCGATCCTTCGTTATCATCATACACAAAATGGGACAAAGACGTCAGCATTAAGACCTGAAACGGCTGAAGGAAAAAGGTGGGGGTGAACTTCAAGTCACAGGCACTGGTGAGGACCTTTTGAATATAATTTTGGTAGCACAAAACCTAAGATCAACAAATGGGATCTCATGAAACTAAAAAGCTTCTGTGCAGCAAAAGGAATGCTAGTTAATGAGTAGGGGGCCCACAGAATGGGAGAAAAGCTTTGCCATCTATACATCCAGTGGGGGATTAGTTGTCTAGAATACATACAGAAAAAAAGAAAAACTCTTCCAAACATCAAGAAAATACCCCAATTAAAAATTGGTTGTAGATCTGAACAGAAAATTCCCAAAAGAAGGGGAAATGGCTAAATGGCTAGAGAATACTTTTTTTAAAATAACACTCAACACTCTTTTTTTTTTTTTTTTGGTTTGTCAATACAGGGTTTCTCTGTATTGTTTTGGAAGCTGTTCTGGAACTCGCTCTGTAGACCAGGCTGGCCTCCAACTCACAGAGATCTGCCTGTCTCTGCCTCCCGAGTACTGGGATTAAAGGCATGCGCCACCAACACCCTGCTTATACTCCACACTCTTACCAATCAGGAAACTGCAAATTAAAACTACTTTAAGATTCCATCTCAAGGGGCTAGAGAGGTGACTCGGTGGTTAAGAGCACTGACTGCTTAGTTCAATTCCCAGCACCCACATGATAGCTCAGAACCCATCTGTGATGGGATGCAATGGCCTCTGCTGTTATGCAGACAGGAACACAGAGCACTCACATACATAAATAAATAAATCTTAAAAGCCCACTCAGAATGGCCATCATCAAGAGCACATGTGACCACAAATGCTGTCTGTCACAGATCGCAAAATGGAATATAAATTAATGCAGCCACTTTGGAAACCAATCTGGAAAACTAAAAGTAGGGCTGCCATATGACCAGCTACACTACTCCTGGGAATAAATATATTGGGCTTTATATCTAAGTACAGAGACACTTGAAAATCCCCATTTGTTGTTATTCTATTTACAATAACTAGGGAATGGAATCAAACTAGATGTCCTTCAACAGGTGAATGGATAAAGGAAATGTGGTACATATACACAATGGAGTATTACTTAGCTGCGAAGTGCATAAAAGATAAAAAACATGAAACTTGCATGTAAATGTATGGGAGTGAAAAAGATTGCACTTAATGAGTAAATTACTCTTCTAACACAAACTCTGTATTTTTTCTCTCAAGTCAGGATTCTAGCTTCTAATCTTTTGCATGTTCAGTTTGGAGCACAAGTGGAAGCCAGCAAACGAGAAAGAGGCCTTTGGGGGGTAGGCATGTTCAGGTAGGACAACAGATACTAGTAAATTGGAAGTAGTGAGGCAGAGGACTTGGGTAGAGAGGCTGAAGGAGGGCGGGGCTCCGGTGGATAGGTTTAACTGGCATGGAGAAGGGCTAATTTAAACAGTGTGCTGAAAGCCACAGGAAACCCCACAGGTCTCAACGTACTTAAAATATATAATTGGAGTATGTAGGCAGAGTTTGTCTTTGTCTTGGCGGGGGCTCTCAAATTCAAGAGACTTAATATTAATTATAAATACTTGGTGGATAGCTTAGGCTCGTCTCGAGCCAGCTCTTGCAACTTAAATTAACCTATTTCTATTTATCTACATGCTGCCCTGAGGCTCGCTTACCTCATCTATGAACTTCCCATGTTGCTTCTTCTGTGTCTGCTCCTGACTCCTGAGACTCCACACTTCTTCTTCCCAGCATTCTCTCTGCCACAAAAATCCTACCTAGCTATTGGTCAGTAAGCTTTTCATTAAAAATGAAACATCTTCACAGTGTACAAAAAAAATTATTCCACAACAGAGGGATGGTCAAATACATGGAATATGAAATATGATGGGGAAATAATAGGGGTTAAAGATTAAGTAGGGATAGAGGCAAGGGGGAGGGGAGAAGAGGGATAATAAATATGTTAACCAAAACTAAAGATCTATGAAAAAGCCCTATGCAAACCCACTAGTTAATGAGCTCATTTAAAAACCTCATTTAAAAAAGGAGTTTGAATCAGGTACCCTACATAAGTAGACAGTGGCACTTCCAGAAGTTATTAAATCTCAGTGCAAGGCATGGGATATCCTGCTGTGAGTTACTGGTCAGGGAGGCCTCGGAGGTCTTCAGACACACAGGTTACTGCCAGGACCCTTGTTCAACCCACACACTAACAGAGAAACTTCCTTCCTGCTCGATAGCTTTCATAGTACCAGATGTGTTGTATGGGCTGCTGGGGGAGAAAACACATGCCCGGTCTTTACCCTGCACTGAGCCCTTCATTCTGTAACACTGTATAACAGTGGCACAACTTTTACAGGGTAATTAACTACTTTCAAGTTGGATTCGCAGCCTGCTCCACAAGAGGAACTTCATGCCTGGTACTGTATGTACTCTTGGTCAGTAGCACATGGCTGGGAGAAGTCATAGGCCCTAGACTAGAAGTTGTTGTTGTTGTTTTGCTAAAAGGTTATATGGTCAAACCACTTCCTGAATATTTACACTTAAACCCACAGGCCTGGACTGCTGTGAACCTTGGTCAAAAGGAAAAAGAAAAAAAAAAGTGTTTTCAGTAGTCACCGGTCAATGGAGAGATGCATAAATTGTCAAAGTGCTAAGATCAAGAGACTGAATGTGCAGTCCTAAGCAGGACATCTGTATTCCTCCCACTATTACCACGGTTCAGAGCACATTAAGGAAGAGGTGAAAAGAAACTAAGAGCCCCAAGTATACGGAGTAGTGCAGAAACACTCTGTCTTCTGGATATGACATGGCTACCGCAGTCATGAACCCACTGCACAAGACCTACAAAAGATCAAGCCAGCTAAAACTGGTACCGTTTGGGTAGGTGATCTACACACCACACCCTTCACTGAGGAACTACTGGCAGTGGGTAGTTTCTGGGGGAGAGTATCATTCATTTTGGAGGATGTGACCACGGCTAGATTTCCCATGCTCCAGTGAATGGTCCCACACTCTTGCACATATGGGTAGCTCCTGACTTAATGAAATAAAAACATAATCAGAAAGTGTTGGGAAAGGAAAGTGGGGATAAATGTGAGTCATATTGTATATAAGATCTCAAAACTAAAAAACCTAAAATGACTAATTTCTTCAAATCAAAAGAGAAAAAAATGGCATAATTCAGTAACTACTACCATGAGACACCGACCATCTTTATACATGCCTCACTGTATGCAAAACTTACTGCATGCACACCTCACGTCTGTACACCTCACTGTATACACACCTCATTGAGCAGCCATGGTAATTCTCTGATTACTGCTAACCTTATCCTAGAAAGAAACTGAGCTAAAAGGTTGGAAAGGTCATGCCATGGTTAGCTCAGCCAGGTGACTTGTCCAAGATGGTAAAGCCAGAACTAAAGCTCAAACGCCTTTCTTGCTGGCTTCTATCTGTCACCATAGCCCACCAGCTTCTAGAGACTGAAGGAACCCTGAATGGTACTTCCTAAATTGAGTTCTAGGAATCTCCAGAGCTACTCAGATGTTAGCATTGTTCTAAGAAATAAGTACTTCACTGTTCGAAGGTCTGGGATGCATTGCCTTATATCAGAATTTTCCAGAACTTTAATATGTTCATTATTTTTCCTCAAGAGGGTAGTAAGTGAGAAATGCTTTACTTTATTAAGTGGCAAAGCTCTGTGCTTAAAAGAAAACCTAGTATCTCAAGGGACACTTGTGTTCAAGTAAGCATAGTTTGGAAAATGGCTACTGGCCTCAACTCTCCCATTCCATGGTTTATAAAATGACATTCGGAAACGAAGTGACAAAACTTCAATTAGTCACTGAGCGAGGCCACAAGGCAGGGAGGAGGTGGCTCTCCCAGACACACTTTCCCATGATCACTCAGTTTCGTGTGGTTATATTTCTACAAAGATCAACACCAATTTTTAAAAAGTATAATGTCAATCAATATCCTCATTAATTATGGTGGGGGTAAAGAAAACCCACTGAAGATCAAAAATGTCCCATCTCCGACTATATTGATATCTCAGAGAGGTGGGCTATGTTTCAAATACAGGCAGGGTTTCCACTGTAATAACGCTGAATGGCGATTTTCAGCCCATAATTTCTACTTTTCTGTTGAAACAGAACACGCATGCTCATATGCACCCAGTACTGCATAAATCCATATTGGGGCCATCCCATTTTGATATTACAGTAATATCAAATATAACCAAAAGTTAGCATTTCCACCTTGTGATACCCATCCCTTCAAACTCTCCTTCACTTATTGTGTCTGTGCAAAAAGCAACATGTTCTGCATGGCCCCTTCCTCAACTTACCCTCAAGTAGGTTCCCATCATTTCATCCACCTCTTTCAGCAAGTAGAAAAAGTCCTGGGCCATTGACGCCATCTGGTGGTAGGTTCCAGAACTGTTTAACTCAACTTTTCCAAAGAGTCACATCATTTGAACCTCCCCAGATAGCACTTGCTTTTACCAGGATTCTTGTCATTTCTTTCAGCAAAACCTTTCATTTGTTTTTTCTTCTTCTGCTCTGCTCTATTTACTCAACTGAATAAAAATCAACTTTACTTATGGTGTCCAAGTTCCAGAAGAATCTTAAGTACATTTGAAGCTTTAAAAAAATTACAGTCTAGATGGCTGAGAGGCCAACAGGAGACTGATCCAGACTCCATGAATGTAGTCTCAGTGAGGAGGCCACAGAAATCACTGGGGCATTGGTTAGTAGATCAGTGTTTACCATGGTTTATGAATGAGCTTTGGGAGCCCATTCCAAATAGAGGGATGCTCTCTCAGCCTGGACACATGGGGAAGGGCCTAGGTCCTGCCCAGGATGAAATGATAGACTTTAGAGATCCCCCTCCAAGGAGAGTCTCACCCTCCCTGGGGAATGATGTGGGGGTTGGGTGGGGAACTGGGGGGCTGGTGGAGGGACAAGGGAGGAGGGGTGGGAGAGGGAGCTGGGACTGACCTGTGAAGCATTCACGTTTCTAATTTAAATAAAAACATATATTGAGAAGAAAAAAATTGCAGTCTAGCGTTGGAGGTACCCTGTCACAACCTTTCCCAACATGGATTACGTGAGTTTCTATCATTAATGCATCCAATGCCTTGAAGGAATGCTAGTGCAAGAAGGACCTTAAGGACTACCACAGGGCCAGCTGCCTCCTTTTAGGGCAGAACCGTCCACAGAATAAACACTGCCATCGCCTGCCCGGCCGCACACACCAAGAGGACCAAGATTAAGATCCAGGCCTTCCCATTCCAAATCTAGTGATCGGCCACCTGTGCTGTAGACTCTCCTGAACAGCTTTTCTCTGTTTTTACAGTTTTCACAATTAGTTACACTATTCTGAGGGCAGGGTACATGACTACCTCCTGTACCATGCCCTCTCCACTGCTCAGCACATTTTTTGTTGCCTCCTACTCTACTGAGACTAGAGTGTGCCCTGTTCTAGGTTTTATCTCTCCATAACCCATTTCAATGGTAGCTGAGACTAGAGCGCGCCCTGGTCCAGGGTAGATCTCACTATATCTCATTATAACAGAAGATTTTCAGGCTGTGTCTCTGTCTGAGAAACCCCACTTTACAGGCAGAATTTACTCCATTTAGAGCACAAATGCAGAGGCAGGAGGACTCTGCACCTTGGCCAACATGTAAATAACAGTACCACCAGCACAGACAAATCAATCAATCAATCAATCAATCAAGGATATAAAGAAAGAAATCACCCCTAAAAGTCCACACAATGATAGTCTATCAAATTATCCAAGTACATTGAGGCCAAATGAGCACATGGCACATTAAAATCTTATCAAGCTCTGGCGAGATAGCTCAGTGCCTAAAGACACTTGCTGCCAAACTTGACAACCTGCATTTGATCTCCAGGACCCACACGTTAGAGGGAGAGAACCAACTTCCACATGTAGCTGGCAGGTGCATTCCTACACACACACACACACACACACAGACACACACACACTCAATATTCACAAATGTAACAAAATCCTATCAGAAAAGCCAGGCCCAAGAATTTATCAAACAAAACAGATGAATGAAAAGGTACAATATCCTCACCTGGACGCCATAAAGAAGAGCATGTTCCCAGAAACTTCGGGGAGTCTCAATATATTATTGGGCAAATGAGGATTTCCTCTTTGGGGTTCCTAGTCTTACTAATAAAAGAGTTTAGAAACAGACTTGAAGTGTGAGAGGAAATTTATTAGAAATCAAGAGAAAAACCTTCAGAGGGTGCAGGCTGTGAATCGTGGAAACTCCCCGGAAGAAGACTGCAAAGAGGAAGAAAGTTTGTAAGCAGCCACATAGTGACAGGGGCCTGGGTTGCTTCAGAGAAAGGATGAGAAAGCCCAGAGAATCGGGAAAGTCATGTTTAAGCTTTGGAAAAAAGAAAGATTTGTTTTCTAAGTAACTCAGAAAAGTGGGCAAGCTCAGCTGTGCTAGGAAACTCTGCAAGCGTCTAGGCTGAGGGTGGGGTTTCTGGGAAGGATAACTACGTTACCCTTAATACATGTGAAAGGGATAATTACTCCTCCCACCTCCTTAGCACAGCTTTAGGTGTATCAGCTGCCCCAGGGCCGCTCTTTGCAAGGTGACTGACAGGTATGGATGGATTAACTCTTAAGGGAGGAGACAGTGAGCACACAGGAATGTCTTGTCTCCCCCAGGGTCAAAGATACAATTTTGGCCAGGACAAAATTGCTTTACCTTACTGAGCCTCAACAGAACTTTTACATCCACCCTCAATGGCTCCCAACACTACTATAACATCTCTACCCCCAATAGTCTCGAAAATGATTTAGGAGATGGGCAGAGACTAGGGAATAGAAAGAACTCATTTCCACCATGAAAATCAAGAGCTCCAGAAGGGATCATGTCTAGACTGGACTTTCAATCATATCTTCATGCGTACCTCCCAGGGAAGAAGTCAGAAGAGACAAGGGCCCTGAGCTCCCTTACGGCACTCCTAGGATCATGTCTAGACTGGACTTTCAATCACATCCTCATGCGTACCTCCCAGGGAAGAAGTCAGAAGAGACAAGGGCCCTGAGCTCTCCTAGCCGGCCCGGACAGAACCGAGGACATATTTACAGCTTTACTAAGAAGAATGAGTCTACTTTCAGAGTCCTCTACACTAAGCGGCCTATCCTATTTCTACCCCATGTCCTCATCAAGGCCACTTAACCCTGAAGGGTTATGACTACCACCTACCGGTCAGCTAATCATCAACTGGGTCCAAGGACCAGTAGACTCACTCCAGAATGCCTGTGGCCTACTCCTCTGACTGGATCTGGTTCTGCTCCTCAGTTTCCACACTCCCCACACATCACATGGCCAACCTGACTTTATGCTGAAGCTCAGCTCAACTCTGACCCTGTGGCTCTTGACCCGATTCAAACCTCTGGCTTATCTGATTTCCCAGCACCTTAAACAAACACCTATTGGGCATCTGTATCCAGCTGCTTTTTCCTTTCAGAAAGGCATTTGGAACTCCTCGAAGAGCCACAAGCTCTTAACTCTTTGGCAGTCATTGTGTAACCCACAAATACAGATGTACTGACTGCATGGTGTATAAAGTGCGATCTCAGAGTCAACATTAGCAAAGACTGGTATAAAGGAGCCTGTTTGAACCAGGGGCATAGCTAAGTTGGCAAAGCACTTGGCTGTGCAAGCATAAAGCATTTGAGTTCACTCCCCAGAACCAATGTTTAAAAAAAAAAAAAAAAACCAAAAAACACATATGGTAGCGCATTTGTATTACCCCAGTGCTGGGGAGGCAGAGACCTATCTCTGTGGCTCATGAGCCATCCAGTCTTACCAGACCACTGAGACTGTCTCAAAAACTACAGCAGACAGCACCCACAGAACACTTTAAGACCTCTGGTCTCCACACTCGCGTGCACAGAGGACCTGTCTGGGGCCAGAAATCAAGGGAAACACACTACTTGGCAGAGTGGGGCCCCACCAAACCCTTGCAGCCTCTAAATTTACTGTTATTAAATTAACTCTGACATTGTAGATGACTAATGTGTTTGTTTCTGACAAAACACTTTCACCACATGTGACGATACTTACTGAAAACCTAGGGCATTTTCACCATATTATACATAAAAGCTTTTCTGCTTAGGAAGCAGAAAACAGTATCTCTAGGGAGAACACTGCCAGTAACTGCTACATTGTAACTTTGAGGACACAATCCATTCAGAAATGAGTCTACTTTATGAAGGGTTCCTCCTTGGGTTGTTTTTGTATTATTACTCTTGTTGCTGTTTTTGAGACTCGTGTCTTACCCAGGCTCCCACTGCGTGTACAGCCCCCTTCTTAAAAAGGTCTATCACTCTTGCCTAAACAAGACAGGATGGAAAAACTATAGCACAGAAACTAATTTTGAAGAAACTATTTAGTACGAGATGTAATGACAACTAGGAGGGTTTGTCAAATGAAGAGGCCCCTGTGTTCAATCCAGGAGGCAGAGGCAGCCGCTGACTCAAAAATCAAAAGAAAACAAAAAGACAAGAGTTTAAGTTAGCTTTACTCCTTTATCATAAAACAACCTTCAACCTCAAGGCCCAGAAAGGTAGTTATAAATATCAAAGCATAGTTATCACTGAGTACAAGTTACACTATAAGCCCAGTAACTACTATGCACACACACAGCAATTTCTGCAGCCCTGTTTTACAAGGTGAAAAAAACCTAATCCTTAGCAAGTTAAGAAACTAGCTCAGGATAGAGTTCTCAGAGCAAAATCTATGAATTTCCAAGATTCCAGCTCCACCCCCGAAGGGGTGGAACCTCCTAACAGGTGTGCACAGGATTTTACATGGTTTACAGCTCTCCTCGGGGCTCTGAAGTCAATGGGGCATGAAGGCAACTCGATCTTCGTGGCTATTTCATGTTACTGGGGAAAAAAAAACAAAAAACACTACACAGTGAAAAGAAAAGGGAGCCAGGAGCTTCTGTCTTTGGGGGCCAGCTCAGGGTGGCACCAGGCACCTCCCTCTAGGTTAGTTCAATGTCCAAGGCAAGAGGTGGTGCCACCATCTTGCTCGAACGCCAGTCAGTCCCCTGTTTGTGGGTGGCATTCAGGGTGCAAACTTTGAGCTATAAACCCGGCTTATTATTGCTCTGGTTCCAAGCTGCGCTACAAAATAACAGGTTTCATTAGGGCATTTGTACGCAAGCCAATCCCAGAGCCTGGCTCCCACTCCCCTCCCACTTCCTCCCTCCAAATACGCCTGCGCTCGCGGCCAGCTCGCGGGCAAACTCGGTTTAGGAGTGAAGCCCCGGTCCCCGAAGTTCTGCGACCTTGCGGAGGGGGATGGGCTTAGCCGCTCCCGGGAGGTCAGCGGGTGGAGCGCGGCGCTGCGGTGGCTGCAGAGGGCGGTTGGCCCCGCGCCGCCCTGCGTGTCCCCGCTGCGTGCCGAGCCCCGTCCCTGTGGCCCCAGGCTGGGATCGGGCTGCGCGGACCCGACCGGGCAGGGCACGGCGTCGCGGCTGCTGCTCGGGCCGGCGCGGAGCTCGGCGAGCCACTTACTGAAGAACAGGCGGTAGTCCTCCGAGTGGGGACGGCCGCGCTCCTCCGTGCGGTACAGGGACATGACGCGACGCGGAGGGCGGGCGGCGGCCCCCACGCGCCACCCTCGGCCGACGCTCAGCAGCGGCAGCAGCGCGCGCATGGCGGACGGACTGAGCCGATCGGCGCCCGCTGGGTACTGGGGCCAGCGCGGCCGCACCACGGCGCCCCCTGCCGCTCGGAGCCGGCACTGCCTCCCGGTTGGCTTCAAATCCCACCCTCTTCTGAATCCCAGAACCTGCCTACCTGTCCCCTTCCTCCCTGCGCCCTGAGAGCCTCACCCCAGGAATTTACCTCCAGTCACTCACTCACACACTGTCGATATCTAGATCGTACTTTCATTACACTGATGTAGTATTGGTCGCATGGCTCTAGAAACTGCTCAAAGACTGTCCAAACCAGGAGATGAGAGGACGGACGGACACACACACACACACACACACACACACACACACACACACACACACAGACAGACACACAGGACTATGACGCATGACTGAACCGCCTTCTGAAGATCTTTGACACAGAAGTAGACAAAATCTTTAATTCCCTCAAGTTCTACTTCCTCCATAAGGCCCTTTAATATTTAACCCAAGTGGAGTTAACTTCCAACTTCACAGCAACTGCAAACATCACAAGTGTTTATACCTAGTCTAGTGGCTGCAACTAGTTACAGCAGCAGCATTTTATTCTGCGGTCTTTGGTCCAGCTAACAACGGGTGCTATGGTACTGCAGAAGGAACAAGTGACAGGGCCACAAATGTCATTTTCCTTCTCTGTGAACCAGGTTTTGGTTTGTTTGTTGGGTTTTTTTGGGGGGGGGTCCTCATTGCAAAGGTCTTCAAGAACTCTCCCAGTTTCTACTCAACTGTGAGTAGGGTTCTCGTCCTCACCTCTAATCATGACTGTGAGGCTGTTTGCAGAGAGGTTTAACTAGAGAAGGAAAAAAACTAACCTGAATGTGGATGGTTGGAGTCTTGAGCTGAATAAAAAAGACGAAGAAAGTGAGTTGAGCATCAGCGTTCACCTCTCTCTGACTGCTGACACCCGGCACAAGATGACCAGATGCCTCCCGCCTTGACACCATGCTTTGTCCACAGTCAGTGAGCCAAAGCACAAAAACAAAAGAGCCCTGACTTCCTAAAGTTGCTTTTGTCACAAGTTTCCCACACACACACAGGACCAAGAAATATGTCTAGTTGTTGTGGAATAATCTTTTTGCCAAGGCACCTTCTGATTGGTTTAATAAAGAGCTAGGCAGGAAGAGGTTAAGTAGGACCTCTGGGCAGAGAGAGAGGTATTGGGGATGAATCTAGATGCAGGAGAGATGCCAGTGGACACAGAGAGGAAACAGGAGGTAGAAGATGGAAGAGGGGTAAAAGCCACTGAAGCAAAATGTAGATCAGTATAAGTGGGTTAATTTAACTAGTTAGGAAGACACCTAAGCAAAGGCCAACCTTTCTTAATAAGTCTGCCTGTCATTATTTGTGAGCTGGAAGCCCAAAGAAAGATCCATTTACATCTAATATACAATCAAAATCTCTGTATGTTCCCCTCAATTGTTCTGTGAACATAAAACTGCTCTTTTTAACGGCCCATTTCAAAGAAGTCCATAAACAATGATAGTAAAAGACATATCTCAAGATAATAAAGTCATTTTTCTGTTCTTCCTACCTTTTCTCATCTTCCTTTTTATGCTGCTGCTTCAAACAGAGCCTCACTATGCAGTCTAGGCTGGCCCAGCACCCCACTCCTGGTATTAACAATAACAAATAGTTTAAATTTGGAATGTTTCATTCTTTTTCCATTGTTAGTTGCTATGCCTTACATTATCATTTAGTAATTACCACTGTAGGGGTTTTTGTTTCTAATCTAACAAATATAACAAAGTTTGCCTGAAGTGCAGAGCTAAGTCACTTGTTAGTCATACATACACACTAAGCCACTAGTTAACCATAGAGGACAGACAGTAGTGGCCAAATCTTTAATGTTAAGATTCGGAAGACACAGGCAGATGGATCTCTGTGAGTTCAAGGCCACCCAGCTACACGAGACCAAATCATTCTAAAAGAGAAACAGAGCTCATGCCTTTGATCCCAGCACTTGGATGACATACCTATAATCCCAGCACTAGAGAAGAATATAAGGCAGGGGCTCAGTGCAGTCTCAGGGAGTCTGAGGTTTGATGGAGAGTATTGCAGTCTGCAGTCACTCTGAGGATAGGATTCCTACCCCCACCCCCTTTGGTCTGAGCCTTGACAGAGGTAAGAACTGCTGCTTTGCTTTTCTGCTCTTCAGCTTGAACCCAATACCTGTTTTGGGGGTTTTTATTATTCCGGCTACACACCATTCTTTCAGCTTCCTAACTAGTATCTCCTGTCACTAGTACTGTCGGATGGCCTACTTATGACATATACTTGCTTTCAACTCAGATTGGCTTTCTTGACTAGCAGTCTATATCTATCTATCTATCTATCTATCTTCATCCATATCTATATATATCTATATATCTCTGTATAGATAGAGAAATGGATATGGATACAGATGTAGATATATAGATAGATATGGATATAGATACAGATACAGTATAGATATATAGATGGATATGGATATAGATGTAGATATAAATACTATTGCAGCCTAGGCTAAAACACCCATTACCCCTTGAATGTTATATGCAGCTATGTAGCTACAAGGTGCTTCCATTCTTCGAGAGATTTTTATACACTATTCTTTTTGGAGTAGTAATAGCATTTTGCTGAGCTTTACTTTTTTATTATTAATTTTTTTATTTTTAAGTTTAAATTTAGATTAGAAACATGGTTGGTTCACAAGATAGTTCCAGGTCCCTCTGCCTTTCCCTCCCCTCCTCCCGTGCCCTCCCCCCAACTCCCCCATTACCCCCTCATTTCCCCATGGGGGTGTCCATAGTCTGTCATTTCATCCAGGGCAGGGCCTAGACCCTCCTCCCAAGAGTTCAGGGTGAGAGTTCATCTCACATTGTTGGATGGGAGTCAAAGTCCATGTGTATACTCAGGATGAATACTGATCTACTGCCCAAGGCTCAATAGATTACCTAGGCCTCCTCACTGACACCCCCATTCAGGGGGTCTTGATCAATCCCATGATGGAGCTAGTACGTTGAAATCCTTTCTGGAGTGATTTCTTCTGGGTAACAACAAGCCTGTGTCCTGAGGCTCATTCACTTCTTAAAAACTGAAGAGGACGGACAAGTTACAGTTACTTTTATGCAAGTCCCAGTGATTTGAAGAAGGGACTTGGTATTAAGGACTCGACCTCTCTGGCTCCTCACTAAATTAGCCATAATAATAACATTTACCCATCATACAAGAGTCACTGAGCTAAGTACATACTATTAAGTGGCATGAGGAAAAAACAAGTTTTCCTTGGTTGAGTATTATGACTACTTTTATGCTAAAAATAAGCATGAGAAATTTCAATCCCCGTGTCACACTATAAATTCCTTATAATATTATAAATACAGAAACCACAGTGATACTCTAATCCAACTCAAAAATGGTATATAAAACAATGGAAAAGTAAGAGAGGAAGAGGAGAAAGGAGGAGGAAGAGGAGGAGGAGAAGAGGAAGAGGAGGAGGAGGTAGAGGTAGTAGAAGTAGCAGTGGTTCAGCCTACTGACAATTAAAGCCTGATTATTCACAAAGAACCACTTCAGCCTATAGATATAAAACTGACATAAGTGTCACCGTGGAAAGTACAGGAGCCGAGACAGAATAGCTGAGAGACCCGGTTTGGGCTAAGGATGAAGGGAGGCTTCTGTATAAATATGATACTGCATATGACAGTCAATGAAAAGGCAGCCATGGGACAGAGAAGATACAAAGGTCCAGAGGTAGTATTATCTGAGAAATACTTCCTGATGAAAAATTTGTGAAAATAAATATGTATTGCCTCAGCTTGGATTTTCCAGGGAGAAGAAGACACTGAGAGAGGATTGCTTCCGAGGGAGCATGCTTGCAAACAACACCTGAGGAAAACAGAATGAAGAATGTGGATTTAGAAGGACATGGGGAGATGCGGTGGATTGTATCACAGCAACACAGACCCCAAACCAGCTTTGATTGCTGTCAGTGAGCATTGGGAGGTAACATTGATGGTTAGGAATGTCTCCTAGTGGACCAGAATGGTGGGACCCTTATAAACCCCCTCCTTCACATCAGTTGGGGATGTAAGCATTTTAGAAGGTGTTTCCTGGCAGTCTGATGGCTGAAGGCATTCCCTGAAGCTGGGTAAATAAGTCCTTCCTTAAAATGAATCTGAGTGTCACATCGCCATTCCCACTGCAATACTCAATTTTATAGATGGCTTTTAAAACAAGCAGGAAATAAACCAATAACATAATAGAAGACAGAAATTAGGGAATTCATACATTTTTCTTAAAAAATCACAAATTATCAACAAATACTACATATGTTCAAACACTGTTGGCAATAGGAAGATAAAAGTTGGGAGAAATGTCTTTTGTGTATTGTCTTGGCAACAGCATTTCTATTCATTGTGGGATTGTGGATGACAATCTCTAGATATGAATGCTTCTTGGTGAAGGAGCATCCCCAAAGATGGTTTGTTTTACTGTAACAAGAAGGAATTTCCACGCTGTGGGAGGTGGGATATAATACTACCAATTGATAAATTAATGTGACTATGTCTATAAGTCAATTGGAAAGCAAAACCTTCAAGACTTGATCATAAATGCTTCTCAAATTCTAGCCTTCTAGATAGATCTATATCCACAGTGGGTGACCTTTCAGGTTTCATGAGAAATGGTTGGGACTGCCAATGGTCTCTAGTGATCATCTTAGAACAGTATGGAATCAGCTAGAGCATTGGTACAGTGAACACATTTACAAAAGCTCTGACCTAATTATGGTGTGCACGCTTAAAAATTAGACTACCATATAACATAAGGTATGTGAAATATTTATTGTATTTCATCTTAGTTTTTAATTTTCTCCTTAAAACTTCTGTACTAAGATTTACTCCAAAATCATAAGTTATATTAATTTTACATAACTCAGACCTTTCCAGGC